GTCTAGCGAAAGGACGTCATAACCTCGCAGGCTAGTCATTGTCAATTACAGAGGAAGTTAGGTGGTGCTATATGCCAGTTAGCTTGCAAATTATGTATCTCAGCCAACGACCCCATGGTTCAATGGCTGAAGCTGCTGGCTAGTTGGCATCTGCCTCTGGCGGTCATGGCTTCGGTCCCAAGTAGGTAACCGAGGAAATGCGCACCACTAACGAGCGTCAATAGATCGAATAGGGTCTGCACCTTTCCTGACTAGGCTATGGTATGTAGCTTGTGAACTACTGGAATGAATACCTTAATAATTGCCACTAAAATCTTGTTACGCAAGAAAATAATTCCTTTGATACTCTCCGTGTGGTAGTCGTTAGAACTGTTTTTCTCCCACTGACGTTCACTGTATGGAATATCCGGAAATTTGCCTATTCCACTGTTTTTAGTCCGCAGGCGGTATGCGGACAAAAGCAATGTCTCCACATCATCTATTGATCCCAATGTTACTCACAGTAGCCGAGACTCCCCATAATGATTGGAAGTTAGATGTCTAGTGATGCGGACCAGATTAGTCGGACTGGCTTGAATTCCGAGTTTATAAGAAAGAAAATTCCATTGCTTTAAACTATCCAGCTGTTTACTAAGGAGTTTGTCTTGGACCCAGAAACTTTAGTGTATATATGTGTCAACGCCTAGTAGTTCCGCCTGGTCATCGGTGGTGTGGGAAGTGCGGTTATCTAGGGATTTAGTGACCTCACCGCAGGTTGCACCTGATCCTTGACCCGTTTTGTGGCTGTAATGGGTGAGTCTACTGAGGTCGCACTTTGGTTATACCGAGCAGCAACGGTTGCATAAGTGGATCGGTCTTTACAGCGGTTCAGATTCCTTTGGTTTATCGGAAGGGTGGGCGCTACTGACGTTGCATCAGTCGATGCATTGTATGAGAGGATGTGGGCAATGGGGGCTAGGCATGCTTCTATCGGTTGGGATGACAACTTGGTTCGTGGTTCCCAAGAGTTCGAGTACTGCGCGGCCGTGAACGGCTAGCTCTTTTCCTTGGTTTCGAGACAGCAATTGAGGAAGACGGATGAGGTGCAAAATGCGTTATTGTCGCCTCGAGCGAAGCACTTTTGCATTCAAACGACGTTCAGTTTTTCGAATAGACTGTCCTGCTTTTGTGTTGACGCTAGTGCCCAGGTTACTAATGGATCCGTCGTGCACTTCGGACAGAACCAAAGTAAACCCGGCGTATTGTGTTTTTTGTGTCGTTTCTATATACATTGGCGCATTTTGAATTGTACCGCTTTTGGCAGTTTGTGCACGTCAACCCTGCTTTTACTACCTTAGCACAACTCTGCTTAACACAAAATACTTCGTTTCGGGTTATCGGTGTAATGGCTATGTTGGCCGATTATTATAGAACAACTCCAAGATAGTGGACACAGAACAGTAGTTAGGCTAAACACTGAAAACTAGGAATTAACCTGAGAAAATCCACAAAATTTGCACCGATAAAAATTACACCAAAAGTAAAATATTGGTGCGGAATTCACACAGAGAAGACGTATAACACAGCATTCCCGAAGAAAAAGTGGAATCCAGCACGTTAATCCAAAATTCCGTTCGTGAGTACAATCAAGCCCCAAACCAGGGTACTGATTCAATGCAGTACGGGTAGTGCTGATCTTCAGCAAAACAAATATTTCCATTCCAATCTGAGTTTCAGAAGAAATTAGTGATGGGTTAAAAATGCTTTTGCGTAAACTCTCATTGGACCCAAATGTTACAACGGCAGAGTAATTGATATTGACCTCCAATGGGGACGAGAAATTGATTACTGAGTTTAAAGCACTGAGTTCCCTTTATCAGTCTAAATAAGACAATAAGAAGACTGGTATTGCGAGATGGAACCATTTCGTGTTATCTGTTGACTCGCAAACTAACAGCATATATATGAATCAAGTGACAGAAATATCGAAGATTTGAAACTGGTCACAAGGGAAAAATTACGTAGACGCAAGAATGACAGATCCGCATCTTGATCTTAGGGTCATGAGCCCCAAGGCAGCTTCAGGGAGACTGTTGATTGTTTTTGTACACATAGGATAGGGCGATGCCGGTTAAGTGCCACCGCTTCGGCAAAACTCAACACTTTGGGGTTGTCATTTCGATCGATAACTGTAAATGTTTACCTACGGTCAACCTGATGGCCTGATTCTAGTAGGTGACTGGCGATCGATGAGGCCGGCAGCTTAGATATCTTTTCTTGTTCGGCTGCTTGTTGTGTCGATAGTTTGGCAATCCGTGATTCATATATACGTTGTTAGTTTGCGAGTGAGCAGATAACACGAAATGGTTCCATCTCGCAATGCCAGTCTTCTTATTGTTTTATTTAGATTACAGAGTTGTTTGAATAGTCAAATCGATAGCTCAGGGCCAAGCTTTGGATGGTAGGCAAAGTAAGAAAGCAGAAATATCACATTAAAGCCCGATGGTACATTATAATCGGCTCAGGTGGTAATTAAACGAGTAGGTAATATTGTCCCTTGGCCAAGGCAATAGTAATGGACAGACTTACTGCTTTCGCACATATAGTTCTGGCTTCAGCAATCGACAAGAGTCGCTTGCGGAAACCTTGCTTTAAGCGCTTGGGTAATGCGTATACGACTTTGAAGTCATTCCCAGAGGCTGTGTGGCCAAAGTCATGGTGTGATCAAGTAGAGTTGCTTGCGGATCTCGTCGCGCATTTGTAAAATCAGGAAGGGATGTGCTCGCTAAACCTCTGAGATAAGCGCCTTATACTGCGACCCACATATTGTGCACCACAGAAGCACGAATACTGATTAACGAACATGGAACAGGTCAACGAACTTACTTTGACACTAGGCTCCCCTCTCAAGGTACCGTTTATTGTGTCTACAAGTTTATTTGTACTTTCGGTAGCATGTAGTTTGACCGGACTGAGCGAAGGCTGTCAATCGCGCATTTCAGAGTACCTCCCGAGAAACCTAGTATTGACTGGGGCAAAATTACCTAATAACCCAATTTCTAGACAGCTGCTCTACCGTGCAAGGTGTCAAAACACATGCGAAGCCTTCAACGTTCTTAGCAGGTTAAACAATCCGAACCCGCTCCGGTTCCCTCAGAGTGCAGCCATCCTGCGCCTAAAACCCAACCTATGCAAGCAACTGGAACTTATGGCCAGTCTCGTTCTGCCGTGGTAGGTTGTGACTCTTTGGAAAGGCACTACCACAGCCGAGTATGGATTCTTATTATTGACTCCCTTTCACTGCCGTTCGTTTAAATTTTTCACTATTAATATGTATGTGACTGAGTGCGAATACGCGAAATACACTGGATTCTGGACATCCGCCAGCTGGAAAGTGTTGTCTTCTTATACTTTCTAAGATATAGTGCTTGGGGTTGTTCAACACATCACAAACTGGGTACGAATGTGCCGCTGGATGACTACCGAGATTAATAAAAATCTTTCGAATTATTTTGTGTAAATCACTTAAAACCGATAGTATCCAGGACAAAAAATAGCCGGCCAAATAACAGGGAGACAATTTTAATGCTACCTAGCCGTGAGCACATTTCATGGCAAGGGCTTCTAATCTGAAAACACTTAGGTGCTGGATCCCATGCCGCAGCTGCGAAGCGCAAGTGGCCTAGAGCTGTGTCAAAAAGCCCATTTTTCAAACATCAGAGATTCACTGTTCATCAGAATCATAGTAAACCAAAACCAAATGAATCTCTCAAGTGTATGCAGATAGCAAGACACTTATCAGGTATTATCAAGGGAAAGTAACTAGCGGTAACTTCACACGAATTGTAACGCAATATTTCCATCACGTTAAAATGTTTAACAACAATTATTGATGGATGCAAAAGTAACCAATCTAGGTGTAGCGAAGTCAGGGGTATGTAGCCAGGTGTTCTATGAAAGTGTAAAACGCCGACAAATGATTTAAGGCCGGATTAGTCAGTAGCAGTACATCCGGCCCTATAATACATTTCATGAGGTGTCCCGAAAAAGAAAGTATCTCGTGTCACGATGGGTTCACCGCCTCATCATAGATAAGAAAAGAAGCAAACAAGTCCGACTTCGCTTAAGATAGCATAATCGAAAGGTTGTCTCTTACGGACTTCTGAAGTTATAAATAAATGGTATATTCGCCAAAAGGCGAGGCACGACTTCGTAGACATGATCAGGGGCAAGCTACACGCGTAAACGCTACATGTACAGAACCGTTACAAGTTAACGTTGCGAATCCCATGCCATACTGAATAGCAACAAACGAACCTAATGCTCTAACGAAGCACCGTGGATCCATGCTAATGGGCCTTGTTCCAGTCAATCGGGATTGGACTAACGACGCTGGAAACCATCAATATTATTAACTACGTTTCGATTCCTGTAACGCCGGGTTGTTGTTAGGACAGGGTCAGCTGATAATAGGACCACGGCTGTCCAAGAGAACAATGCAGGTATTGCAGTTTAATCAGGCTGCCATAGCAAAGGTCTGAAAACTTGCCACAGAATTCGACTGTCGGCTCGACACAGAGCTCGGAAATGGCGACGCCACTAACCAAATTTTTCAGCACTGTGATGTCCGAAGATTTACATACAGTAAACCTTCCAACGTTGAAAACCTCAATATCTTGTCCACCTCTCTATTGCAATATTTCACGAGTTAACAATGTTTGCCATTATGCAAGACCCCAAAGATTCGAAACATGACGTACGTTGAAACAAAACACTTTACTAATCACACCAGGAAAGTGGTCTGCCTTGTTTGTACCGGACCTCCCTATGTTGACCACCTCTCTAATTTGACCAATTTGGTCAAGTAATCTAAGTGGTTGGCTTACGGTAGTTTTAACGTTGTTTAAGCCTTTGGGTCGGGGTATATAATTAGTAGAAGCAAACCAATGGGTAAAGTACGAACTGAAAATGCTATGAGTATTCAAGAAACCTGTGAATCAACTTGCAATTTCATGTTTCAGCGTACAAAATTCATTGTTCCGATTCCACTCACGACATTCTGGAACGGTTCGGGGGATTCGTATTTGAAAAGCGGGGGATCATCTCAGTGAAAGTGAGCTGCTCTTTAGTTATGTATGTTGTCCGAGTACTTGAGCTTTTCACAATCACAACAATTTCAGCGAACGCTAATTTATATCAGCGACGACATCTTTTCACCCTACCTATCGTATCATGTAACCTCCGTGATCAAATTCTAATGCCTCCGTTTCGAAAGAATACTGTCCGACGCCAGTCGGTGCACCAGGTATAACTTGAACGCAGCCAAAATACAAATCTGCACTTACAACTGGCTATCTGGTATGGGAACCAGTTACCGTAACCGTCTACCTTCTGCAAACTACGGAAGTAATGCAATATCTCATGTAATTCATTAGTCCCCTGGCATAAACTGCAAATGTTTTGTATGAAATAGCACGGAATGTCATTTCATTGAGACGAGCGTATTCGTTTGCCCCTGAACTAGACCGTTGTATTCTACAACTTTCCTGCAGTTGAGGGCTTGAGAGACACTGTCCTTACCAACAGGATAAACGTGTGATGCCTGTCATAGCAAACAGTCAAGATTTCACAGGGGTGATGTTGATATTCTTAGTTGCTTACATAGGATAAATTGCTCAAGACCGTTCCGGGCCACCAAAAGTGTAACCATGATGGGGTCACCTCGAGTCGAAACCAAGAATTAAAATGGAATAAATGACGAAAGGCATAAAAAGTTCCTTAGGATATTGCCTGAAATGAAGCCTTTGACAAGCAGTCTATCAGTGTGACGGTGTTCATTGTGTTAGACCTGTAAGAACGAAGAACGTAACACCCTCCTCATTAGGAAATCATCTCAGGAGTGTACAGTGTAACCATACATAGTGGGAACCACCATGTCTACTGACTGGATCCTCTTGCAGCAGGTGGTTCCCACCTTTTCGTCTCTGGTCAGCTTGCTATGGGCAGTCGCAGGTCAACTCGCGGTTAAATGCGTACCATGGCTTCTTAAGTGAGTTCCATAAATTCAAAATCTCCGAGTTTAACAGAAGCAGAAAAATTTCCAGAGGACCACCATCAGAGTTCATCTTGAGAGCTATTCTGGGTGTTCGGGACAGTTCCTTCTGCGCAGACGTGGCAGGATTAACAGCTGAACCTAGCATTTTTCGGTTATGGTGTTCCCAACTGAAAGCTACTTCAGCTGCACAGTAATCACATACTTCTGTTATGCGACATGTTGATTTCTACATCAAGCAACTTGGGGGAGGAAGTACCCGCGCATCCGCTGCTTCATTAGTCAAGCGCCAGTAAACGATGCTTTAAATATATATATATATATATATATATATATATATATATATCCTGCAGGTGCGTTTGATCTAGAGCTATAGAAAACCGCGAAATCGATGTACATAAGAAGTACAAAAATCACAAGTTTGGAAATAGACACAACTTTGTAGTGTGTTTTCACACGCCGTTTTGGGTCAAGAATTTGTTGAATCGGCAGTGTGTTTGGGTCACAAAAGGACACAATGACACAGAAACAGAAGCAGGTGTAAGTCGAGGTCTACAATTTGGTCAGAATATTAGCCTTTGGCCTAGGATATGGAAACATACATGTATTCTAGCATCGTCCTTAGCATGCAATACGATTAGATTTGTTTCATTAGCTCCTCCTTAGAGTCATGGTCTAAATGGGAGCACACGTACACCAGTTTGTTTAAAACTGGACATCTCCCAAGACACCTAGGACACGTTACATTTCAGTATGGCCGATTCACAAGTCAAAATAGGCTTTTCTCAAATCAAACCAGACATTATCAAACGAGGACAAAACGCGTCGTAGAATGTAGCGCAGTGTTGTGAGAGAGCAACGACGAAATTCATACACAGTGTACTTTTCGCACCGAATAGCAGTAATTTCTTAACAAGAAATCACATAATAACGGTGTAGACAATCATTTGATGGCAGCAGTCTCGCTGTTGCCATCTTCAACTTCGATATCATTTTGAGCAGGTAATTTGTGTACTTCTATTGCGCTACTATTCCTACGCTCTCTTGAATAACCATGCTTAGCTCCTGGTCAGACCCTGGGTTGATCAGCGGGCGCTTCACCAAAAAAATGGCCTACTAGATAAGAGATTCTGCCGGGTTTATAATGAAGATGCAGGTTGACAGAAAGCTTGGTTTATAGGACGGACATAGGGTCCTCGTTAGATTGAGCAACAAGTGGGTTTTAACGTTATCAGTAATCAACTATGTGTCATTCATCCTCACTTCACAAACTATACTCCCCACAAGCTCTTAGACGAGCATGGTTGGATTTTAGGTCCAAGTGTTGATGACGTTCGGTAACTTATACCTTGCTTGTTCGTCGACACATTTAGCGTCGCCTTGCGGCATCTGACTGTGGGCATGATAACAGTTGCGCGTCCTTCTTCTTGAGTGAAAGTGTGTCCGTCCCAGACGAAGATTGAAGACACTCTCAATTAGGATGATACATTCCTTGCCTTGTGGTGTGTGCCAGTAAGTTGAGACCATAGGCCTGTCGGTTGTAATCGACCTGGAGCTGTTGCCACGGGCATACTCATGGTCGTACTTCTTGAGCGTTATCATTGGTTTTCTGAGGGTGGTGAAAACCACAGGTGCGGAAATACGTATCTATTTCTCATTCATCCGTTGCCATTTCTCCACCGAAGTTTCTTCCAAATGCCTTTCAGTTGTATCTTTTTGAGGTGCAGAAGCTCAACCGTTTGCTTCTTTCTCTTACACGAAGGCCGATGGGGTAACGGGGTGTGTCACGATTAGGATCAATTCATCTCACAGATTTTGCAGAAGGAGTGCCTGCATTACCGCTCTCTGCACTGTGCTTATCCAATTCGAGAGCGAGCCCACTAAAGCCGCCAAATGGATCCCATTGATAATCGCAACCGGGATTAAACGCACTGATGAAATCTAGCCAGCAGAATCAATTCAGCATACGAACAAACTTTGGTGTAGATTCGTGTGACAGCCAAAAACAATGTGGCGGCACTGCGTAGCACTGCAATCGCATGCATGCACACATGGGCTGACTAACTTTGGTTTTTCCGGGGTAATACCAGCATAGTAAATATCTCAGACTTTCAACCGTCGAACAATGCTGTAGCCGCCGAGACTCTTGTGCCCATGACAAACCTCACACGGCGACGTCATATACTGGCTCGAAAGCTTTCACTTAACTGAGATTGCGTTGAAAATCTCCGACACAATAGCACAACATTCGAGATAGTGTGCAGATGGATACAACGGCGGCGAGTAGGTTGAGTTAATCTCTGTGACAAGGGTATTCGCTATGTGTATGCCTTATATATGCAACAAATTAACACGTCTTCCTGGAAAAGCATAGCATTCACAGTTTAACGCAAGTGAAACTTCTGAGATTTGTCGAGAGTGATGACTGATTTTGCATGCGCAATTGGTCATTGTGAGGTATAAAAATCTCTTTAAATAGCTCCAGATTAAATTGAGCAGTTGCAAATGACAAATCATAAGCAATAACGAAAGATAGGTGTGCCGCAGTGAGTAGCAGGGCTGGTGAAGCGGAAATCCGACAGACGCGTGCAACTAACCACACCCGTACTCACACATTTCACTTCCATCTTACTCAGCATATCGCCATTAAGACATCCATTCCATGTGTACAATGAACAATGAACCATGAATTTATACGGGTTAAGAAGCGTTGTTTTACAAGCCCCGTTGGATAGTTGGTAGGGATATCAACATAACAGTTATGATGAAGAGGATAGTAAAATAGTTAATACTTTAAATACGCAAATAAGGACTTATCGTTTGCTTCGCTGCAGTCCTGCGATCCACTTAGATTCACCACACCCACAGTTAACAACAAATAATTCCAGGGTAAACTCCAGGTGTAGGATGGAGGCATAGTGTTAAGTAACAAAGTGTAAGTGGGTGAGTGCTTCGTCCAACCGTCTTTTAAATATTGTTAGTGTCGGTGCAGAAACGACCGATTCTGGGAGAGCATTCCACGGGTGACAGACACGGATGGAAAAGAAATTTCTGCGGCACTCCAGACGACTGTATTGTTCTGCGAGTTTTAATGAGTGGCCCCTCAGGTTTGTATTGCTGCTGAGTTGCAGTAAAGGGCGGCACACATGGGGTGGGTCTCGCAGAATCAAGTATGTCATAATCAGGTCGCCTCGTAGCCTGCGATAGCTGCCACTGAACAATCCTAGTCGTCGCAGCCTCTCCTGGTAGGACCGATTGCGCATTCCAATTACGTTCTTAGATGCCCGGCGTTGTGGCTGCTCCAATGCAATAAGGTCGTGTTTCAGCCATGGATGCCAGGCTTGAATTGCGTATTCAAGATGGCGGCGAACATACGCACTGAGCATTTGTCGAAATATGGAGCTGTTTATTTGTCCAAACGCCCGCCTCAACAGCCCAACGTGTTGGTTCCCGGTCTTCGAGGCCTTTTCGGATTGCCTGGAGCAACCCAAGTTATCTTGAACCAGGACACCCAAGTCACGTTCGAGAGTTGATTGTTGCAGTACATCCGTTCCGAGTCGGTATGGGTAGCTGCTTTGATGTCGGATGGAAAGCACCTTGCATTTACTGACGTTGAAATGCAATAAGTTTTGGATCGACCATTGATACGCTGTATCTAAGTCACTTTGGAGCACATGTTGGTCGGCCTTCGTCTGGATCCTGCGCCAGATCTTGATATCGTCGGCAAACATTAAAAAAGTTTGAAGCGACTCCCTGTGCAAGGTCATTAATGAACACCAAAAACAAACGTGCACCTAGAACCGAGCCTTGCGGCACACCACACTCGACTTGTATGGGGTCCGATAAAGAGCTCCGAACTCTGACCACTAATTGCCTTTGAAATAGAAAGTTAGCGATCCAGCTTAAAAGAGGGTCGCCGATCCCGTAATGCTGCAGCTTGGATAGTAGTATCCGATGCTCTAGACGATCGAAAGCCTTGGAAAAATCCAGGTAGATTACATCAACACCTTCTCCAGCGTCGGCTGCCTCGGTCCAACTACTGCGTGCAATTAGTAAATTAG